TGTGCTTATTTTTATTGTATTGATTTGGGAGGTATTAAAAATGTGTGGTGACATCAAAGTAGAATAAGTAAATCTAAATGGGTGATATGGTTTAGGGGTGAACTTGTAGTGTAGGGTCAATGGTTGGGCTCGATGACCCCAAGGGGCTTTTCCAACCTGAATTGCTCTAGGATTCCATGATTCTAAATATGCCAGTTGCTTTAACGTGTTTCTTGTTTTGGAAGCCTAGCAAGGAAGTGCCTCTTTAATGCATGAGTCCCTTCTTATGAATGTAAGTACACTAGACAGAGCTGAAGTGTTTTCAGAATGTAGTAATGCGTGGGAGGGGGTTAAATTTTTTGTTATTTATTTTTTTCAGAACTATGGTGACGTCATGTCTTGCCACCCAGAAAACTTTCAGTGGGAGCACTGGAGTTTTGAAAATGTTGCTACCATACTTGCTCGCCGGTTCCCCAATAGCTTTATTTGGGTTGTGAAGTGTTCTCGAATGCACCTGCACAAATTCAGTTGTTACGACAACTTTGTGGCGAGCAACATGTTTGGAGCACCAGAGCACAGCACTGACTTTGGAGCTTTCAGGCACCTCCATGCGTTGCTAGTCAATGCATTCAGACTCTCTCAGAATATTCTGCTGTCCCAGAAAAGCGTGCATGGTGTCAGCAAGGATGCAAAAATAGCTGCTTGTAAATCACACCCGCCGCAGCCTGTTCCTGCAACGAATGGCTGCTCGTCCGCAGGAAGAGAGCGAGATTGCGAATGCTCTAATAATTCTGCAACGAACTTGGTTATACCGGCTGCTGTAGGCACAGTGTCGTTTACTTTGATTGGCTTCAGCAAAGGCTGTGTGGTTTTGAACCAGCTGCTTTATGAGCTGAAGGAAGCTAAAAAAGACAAGAATACGGATGCCTTCTTAAAAAACATCAAAGCAATTTACTGGTTGGATGGTGGTCACTCAGGAGGGAGCAATACTTGGGTTACTTACCCCGAAGTGCTGAAAGAACTTGCAGAGACAGGAATTGAAGTTCACGCTCACGTTACGCCGTACCAAGTGTTTGACACAATGAGGTCATGGATTGGGAGAGAGCATGAGAAATTTGTACAGGTCCTTGAAGAATTTGGTGTGGAAATAAATGATCAGCTACATTTTGCTGATGACGTTCCCTCCTTAGATAACCATTTCAGAGTCCATGAAGTATTTTGAGATTGTATGTACCTGAATGTTCATTGTAAAAGCACTTTTGACACTGTAAATGTCATCTAGATTTACAGCTTTGAGCAGATGCTTTCTGAGGAGAACAGTAAATCAGTTCTGTGTTGCCTATAAATCTCAGTAGCTTAAGAAGGAGGATTGGGACCCCATCCCAAATGACATCAGATGTCGTTTGATTCCTGGAAAAATGATGTTAGGAAGAACTATCCTATATATGTTTTTTTGTTAGATGTGAACGTTTATTCTCAAACTACTGGTAAAATTTTTGGTCCTGGATGTCTAATGTCATATACTGCCTTTAATGGGAGTTTAAAGTACTCAAGACTTTCAAATGTCTGAATACTTCAGTTTAGTGACTTCCAGTGCTACAAGCTCTTGGTCTTTGTCAGTAGCAGACATAAGGTTAGGGGTTTTTTGCTGAACAAAAATTATGATTGTTAGAACAATCTTGGTTATATATTTTGGTGAAAATTGTTTTAGAGAGTTAATTAAATCTTCCAGTTTTGTAACATTTCTCTGAATTGAAGCAGTCACAAATGTTTACCTTTGGAATAATAGTGCCAATCCATGTTTCTTCCTGATGTGCACCTTGCCTTTTCTGTCGCTGTAACGCTTCATTAATTCATGATGTACTATCTGCTAGTGAATAGCCATTTCGCTACAGCTACGTTAAGTGACCAAGAATGTTGATAAGGGCGTAGCTTATTGCTGTTCCAACATACCATGCTATTGCTTTGACTAACTTCTGTAAGGACCAGCAGTAATACCTGTATTTTCAAGTCAGGAGGTGTCTTTACCCCTAAGAATTGCTTGAAATGTCTTTAATCATAACATGTAAAAAAAATAAACAACAAAAAATCCCAAACACACCACTGAGCTTGCTCCCTTAAGTCTCAGACTGAATCCGCTCCCTATCTAGTAACAGCAGGATCGCAGGCTGACTTCTGAACAATTCTGTGCCAGCCAAAGCAGCAGGAGCAGGTTGTTGAAAGCTTTTGGAAACAGCTGTTAAAATATTGACATTGTCTGCAGAAGTTTCTGGATGGCTGTCCTATGAAAACAATATTAACCTGTTTGATAGAGGCCGCTCACAATAACTGCTAAATAAAGTCAGGCTCAAGTGTTGCTGTATTAATTTGAAGAATAAGCACTTCGTTGTCCAACTAATCTTGTTGTGAGGCCTCACGTTGTGGAGGGAGGACTGACTGGTTGTTTTTCATTCTCTGAACAGTTGTAGTACTCTGTTGGAATGTGCCTCTGTCATTCACTACAATGCATGCTAAAAATAAATTTTGCAAACAGTGTAGAAAATAAACTTTCTAATGGGTGAAACCATTAAACAAGGAATGTGCAGTTAAGTTTTGTGGATTAAGCTTTATCAGGCAGAGACCTAGTTTTAAAATTGAGGCGTATTTGATGGCTTGTCTTCAAGGAGCCTTTGTGTAGGCAGCACCTGTAATTCTAAAACAGCTTCTTGGCATCTCGCGTATATGGGAGAGCTTGTACCAACTGCCCAAGGGTGTGAACATGACTGTGTTAGCGTGAGATGGGTCACACTTTGTATGTGGCTGGTTTTTAATGGTAACGTCAAGGCATTTTTTAATAAGCTTACATATAACTGCCTACAGTTAAGCAATTCTCATGCTCACCGTGGTTTGGTTCAAGACACTTCTGCTTCTGAGTGGAGTGAGCAACATTACACAGTCCTCAGCACAACCTAGTATGTCACAGCAGGTATTCTTTGTGTTAGGTGATTGTTTCTTGTACAGTGGATGCGACGTTCTTCAGATTTTGGGAAATGCTCAAATACTCTAAGCTGTGCCTGTTAAATTCCCTTAAAACAAGGCTTTATTCTGTGAAATTGTCCAGATTTTGTACGAGTTAAAAGAGTTTATTTTGTGTGCATCTTAACCACTAGAAACTTTGTTAACCTTTTATCTAGGACTAATTTAATCGCAACTCTGTAAATGCTGCTGAATAAGTTGGTATTGGCTCTTAACTTGGAAAGGTGATTAAGCATCCAAGTCTCAGCATGTTGCTGAAAGGAGCAATCATTTCTGTCCTCCTGCCGATAACATCCTGCTGCCCCCCTCACATTGCATCAGCACTTTATGGTGAGCTGCTCTATCTTATTAATTTAACATGGCTGCTGATAGAGAGAACTAGCAAGAGTGCTACGTATTTAAATAATTGTAGAAATTATTTAAAATCAGACTGCTAAGTCCGTTTGGAAGCTAGGATGCTATAGGAACAGGTAAAAGTGATTGTGCATGATGGTCATGTGCTCGCATTTTCCTAGCAGGTTCTTTCTGAGCTATTGGCAGAAAGTAAACACCTGTTTTTCTTTCCCTCTTTTGGTCCTTCTTAGAATTCTGTCCTTTGTCAGCTAGCAGCTACTTCATCCCTGCATATAAACAGTATTTGTTGTCTCCTAGACTGAGAGCTCAAGCACTGAGGTTCAAGTATACACATCCATTTACCTTAAATGCTCATTTTAAATTACATGGGGTCTTACCAGTTAATACGAGAGAAAAGTTAAAGAGCCATAAAAACTTGGGGAATGTGTGTGCTCTTTTGTGAGCCACTCTTCAAGGCACATCGCTGCCTAGCAAAATCCACAAACGTGGACCGTGTGTCTGGTGTCCCTGTGCAACGCAGAGGCAAAAGTGGACGTCCTGGATGACAATCCACAGGAAACAGTTTCTTCAAGTCACCTTCTTCATGATCTTTTCAATCTCCTGTTGAAATCCCATTTCATTTTCATAAAGATGGTAGATTAAAAAATAACAAAAATCAGTTCTGATGGTGATAACGTGATGGAAATTTAGAGACATTTAAATATTGCTGATGGAGACCCCAAGACCAAAGCTGGCTTTCTGTTACTGGTTTCTTAAGTCTGTTCAGAGGCAAGGTGGCTGTTTTTAGTTCCAAGTAAAACAAAGCCATTACACCAGTAATGCAAGATCATAGAACACTCGTGTGGCAGACGGGCATGGCTTCTCCCAGTGCCAGACCCGCTGTTCCTGACTAAACTCATTCTGCGAGTTTTAATGGCGTAATTCACTCACTGACAAAAAAAACCCAGCACACTTGCCCAGGATTAGCTGTTCCACATCACTGTGGAAACCACCTGATGCAGGGAGTCATTTTGCATATAATGTGGGTTATAAAGTAACGCTGGCTTTGTTGTCATTTCCCATCATTAGAGCTTCATTATGTGCTTTCAGGGGACCCAAGAAGTGCCGAACTCTACTTAAGCAAATGACCAGGAAAGCATCTGCTAGAACAAAAGGGAAAAATAAATTCTTATCTGTTTTTTATTTCCTGTGTATAAACATCTCATACTTGAAAAAGCAGAATGCCATTCCTTCAAGGTTCAGGATCAATGTTCCTTCTTTTAATAAGCTTTCAGAGACCACTTTCAGTCACTATTTTTAGTTTCCTTTGTTAAACTTGCCGCTTGAGAGACAGAGAGTTGTTTCTGCAGAGAGTACTGCTTCAAGACACAGGAGACAGTCGAGGGATGTAGCACTGCTGAAGTGCAGAACGAGGCACTTCACGCCTCCCGCACCAGAGCTCACCCTCCAGGAGCTACTCCTAAGCCTGGGTGTCAGGTAAAGCTATTGCATCCCTCACAGGTTATCTGCAAAGCTCTCCTTTCCCGCTCCTCACCACGAGAAATACATGGATTTTGTCTGGTGGAAGTTTTAAGCAATTCATGTGGTGCTTGACAGCTGGAGTATAAATGTTTTCACAGCAAAAATTGCCCGTTACTGTGATCTGTGTTATCACTGCAAGCAATAGCTTCTGAGCGTTTTTGTACGAACGTAGCGTCGCACGTGGAGCTGCGCGTTTTACATGATTGAGCAGTTCTTTTAATGTGTTCAATCTGCTCTTAAAAATGTTGGCTAGGAACAGATCTGAACAATTGCAAAGGAAGTAATCTGCTCTTGTTGCTCTTGGGAATTGCCGCTTCAAAGAGATCGTTGCTCTCAGGAATTACCACGTACAGAACTTGGAATCTATCCCCGCTCTTAGAGTCTGACTCAAAGCAAAACAGAAATCTTAACATGCAGTTTTACTGCAAACTTAGATAACTGTCCAAAAAACATTTAAAATTCTGTCTGTCCTCCTAGCTTTGACAGAATCTCTTGTAAAGATCGCTGACTCAGAACATGCATCTTCTGTGTTGTCTGCATGGGAACATCTAAGTGTCTCAGGTTTGGGAAGATACATGTTGTCCAGAGGAAAAAAGAATCAAGTCTTTACAGGATTTTTTTTGGTGAAGTAACACATATTGAAAGCGCGCCATAATGTAATATAACTTGTGCTATGCTAAAATGATCCTCATCTTAGCCAGGTTAGTAGTCCTGTTGTGGGACTAACAGCATGAATGGGGCAAATAGTTTCAGCCTGCGTATTTAAGGATTGCAAATCTATTTCTGCTCCTTCCTGATAAAGTCAAACCCTTTCACATTAGGCATTTAACTTCACACTTGTATTAAGAACGTAGACCCTGTGTAGCTCCTGAAGAGGAACATGGTTCTTAAGTACATCGCATACTCAGCACGTATGTGATAGGCAGATTTTTAATGACCTGTTTAATAGTTTGACAAGAGAATATTTTGGCATCATTTTTTTCATTTGATTCTTTCCACAGCAACCACATTAAAGGAAAATGTGAAAACCATGTACCTTCTGAAGTTACTTGCTGTCCTGTGTATTTCATACGACCAAGGGTAAATAATTCTTTCCAGGCATTGATTTGCAATGAACTTACACTTTAAAAGCCTCAGTCACCAAATCATTAGAGTAATTCAAAGTTTGGGGTGGGCCACATTTAAACCGCTGATTTGCGATACTGCCTGTATGTACCTCTCTTAACTCATCTCTCAGCCCCAGGCAGCCTGCATCACGTCACTCCTGTTCCAAGTGGCTGTTTTGAATGCTTAAGATGGTCAGTGTTTATTTTTCTAATACCTGTTACCACAACTTCATCTGTTTTATTGTGGCATGATCCCATTCTGCTTTAGGTCTCCAAAGGACAAACTTCCACAAAGTGTCACTAATTCTTTGTGTTATTTCGGTAACAAGAGTTTGAATCAT